CTCTATTTTTAAAAGATAAAATGGAGGAACATAACAATTCCTGATCAAAGGGGTATACTAAACGGACTTACTTGTATGTTGTGTAGAACACACTAACAAGAAACACGGGTCAAACTTTTTTTATTTCTTCAGCTCTAGAAATCTCACAGCTAACTTTTCATCTTCAATAGCTGAACTGTTACTGTCTACACTTGCTAAGAAGTGACCTCAGATGAAGGACACATGAGATGACAGCCACACATAGAGGAGAGCAGGTCAGAAAGCTCTGCAGTTACTATGGTTGGTTCTCCCTTGTACAAAACCCTCAGATGAGAATTCAAGTGCAGGTAGCTGAACTTGAGACATGACAAACACTCTGGTACACAAGTGAGGAGGTGAGAAAAGAAGGACACCACCAGGAGATGCCTTATCAAGCAAGTCACCACTGTGCTCAGCTGGAGAGCCCTAGAAGACATTTTGGGGCTCATGGCTCAGTTATCCTGAGGGGTGAAGTAAACAGAAGCTGAGCCACTACCCTTTCCCCAGTCATGGGTGGAAGGCTGATGATTCTGAGAGGTAGGAACTCCATGGCTCTTCCAGCCAGTGAAGGTTGGGAAAATGCTTAGTAGCAGGGGGCTGAGGACATGTGCAACAAAGAGTGAGCTCTTTGAGAAGATACTACAGGTACCTGTTGATGAACACCTGAAGAGGATTTGAACAGCAGCAGTTTGTGACAGAGTTAGTAACAGACTGAAACAAATGAGAATGCCAGACATTAACTCTAAGCCAGGGAGAGCTGTGCATACATAGAAAAGGAGGAATCAATTACTTGCTGGTTCTGCTGTGATGAGCTTTTACACTGTTATGATACTCCAAACACTGACTATCAAGCTAATGAAAACTACAGGGTAACTGCGTTAGGAAGCGGAAGATGCAGAGGTGAAGGGGTTTGAACACAAGTTCAAGAGGTGTCTTAAAGATTATGAGTCTTTGAATTGTGTGCACCCGAACTTTTTATGAAGAAAAGGGTGGAAAGGAAGGCCAGGGCTAGCACAACCTCAGCTGGAGACAGTTGGCTTGGGATGGAGCTCCAAATGCAAGCCAAGTTTTAAATAAAGGACTCACACACCCTGCTTTGGGGGACGGTTCGGTGCAGTGGGTGGGCTGGATCCCTAGGCTCTCAGATATTTCTCAAACCGCCCTCCTTAGCCACAACTCACACCATCGCCGCCTCTACAGCCTGGTAAAGTAAATACCCGAACTCTGCGACATTAAAAGTAACCTTTGCTACTTAAGGCTATGTGCTATCTGAACCGCAGTGAGTTCACCATCAGACCCGCCTCCTGCACAGGAACGTGGGGGACCCGGTCTGCCCTGTGGGGCGCGGTCGCGCCTCCTGCCCCGCGCTCCTCCGACTGCAGGGCTGGGCGCCGTGCGGTACAGCGCGGGGACCTCCACCCCTGGGCGCCGGCGCTCCTCCTTCCCTGGGCTCTAGCGCGGGCTGTGGCCGCACCAGTTGCCTCCGAGCGCGTTCCCGTTCTATGAGACCAGGCAGGGCCCGTGGGGAGCCCCGCGAACGCACACCACGGCCGCACACCCGGACCACACTCCTGGCCGCACCACTAGTGAGCGAGCTCCGCGCCATTCCCCGCCGCAGCCCCGCCCGCCCGTAGGTCCAGGAGGCGCGGGCCCCCGCGGTCACCTGGGGGCCCGGTGAGGAACACGTGCCGCACCATGGGGAGGAAGGTCGCAGTCTTTGGTGCCCGGATCAAGGTTCAGGTCTCGTCGGCCCCGCCCCCTGAGAACTCTGGCCGGGTCCTAGAGACCGACCGGAAGTGGTATTCTGCGCATGTGCTGCTGCCTCGGTCTGAGCGCGCTCTTCCATTTGCGCCGCGCCTGCTAGTACGCACCCTCCATTTGAGTACCTCCAGCGTCTGTCCGCTGATCGCTGAGAGAGCCCAGTGCTCAGGGATATGTGTGCTACATCTTAAGGACCCTAAGACCCTCCGTTTCTGCACAGTGTTCTCGAGGGGACACTTGCTCTTCTCCCTGGTCTCCAGAGATGCTGAGTGTCAGATTACAGCAATTTTCATTTAAAGTTCTAATTGATTTTCATTGCATTCCAGAAATACTGTAGAAGGAGCAGTCATATTGGCTGAGCAGAGGAAGCTGGCTTTATAGACAGGGACTAAAGAAAGCAGAAATAACACAAGGCATGCTGGTCTTTGCAAAGTTACTACTTTACATGGCTAGGGGACTTGCTTATTGTGCTGACTCAGGTGAACTGCCATTCCTGTTTTTTTGGAAAACTGGTCCATTTCAAACTTCACTTTGATTACCAGGCGCTTGGCACAGTGACTCCATTCTGATTGAGCGGGGCTCCTGGGCCTACCGTGGGAGCTTATCCCAAAATAATAGCCTCCTATAAACATTGCTTAACAGGAATCATTAGTCTTAGGCCAGTCCTGAGCATACTACAACATATCTTGTAGTATGTTCCTGAAGTCCACTGGGCTTGAGAATCACTGGTCCAAGACTGCTTCCCACATTCAGCCACATGTGTGAAACTGTCTCCTCTTCACACCTTTATACCGAGTATAAACCAACACAACAGCCGCCTGAGGATCTCCTTTGTAAAGAATCGTGTATCTCCAGGCTTCACTTAACCACTTCAAGTGCTCCAGCCGCAAAATAAAGTGACGATAGCTTTGGACCAGCTTTACCTTTAAACTCTTTTAGTCTAACATGTGTACAGTTTGGCTTGTGATCTATCATTCTTTATCCTGGCTCAGAAAATAATTTCAATGTGTGCTCAACTTAATTGGCTTAATCTCACACACAGACCTCCTTGGCTCCCTTCAACCTACCATATATAGCTGTCAGGTGGTCTCAGTTTCTTGCTGTCTAAAAATCATCTTGAAAAAGCATGATATAGCTGTCACCATCATTCCTGGAACACTTATTACACTACGTAGTGTAACAGCATGTTTATTTACCATGTCATTGGGTACAGTGGTTAGGGTTAGGGTTCTTCCACATACTGCACCTGCAAATGAAATCAATGAACAGCTGATGCAACAAAGTATACCCCTAGGCACATCAGAAAGAGAAGGGAAGAATGAAGGAAAACATGTATGAAGTCATATTGTACAGTATCTCTTATGTCCAAACTAAGAATTTTAACTGTTAGTTATATAACATTTTCCATCACTGACAAGCAATCTGGATTTGCAAGGCTTACAGAGGTTGGGTTATTTTCTTTTAGTGTTGTATGATGGGGAATTCTGGCATCAGTTTTTGTAACTTAAAAACATACAGAACCTAGATATAGAGAATCAGTGTCTCAGGGATGAGAAAGAAAATTCTTCCATAGATGAATGTTCTTTGTTCATTTAAAAGAGATGTATGGGGTGATGATTACATGGCTATTTTCACTATATACTAAGTCACTGAACACTTAATTTGTAGAATTTTCTCTATGTATTGTTAAACGTTGATAACAATATAAGTTAAAGTACATATCTATTAGAGTTTTTTTAAGGGATGACATAATTAGCAACAAGGTACTATGCTAAATCTTCTTGCCTGTGATCTTGTTAAAGTGCCATGTATGCAAAATAGGCTTTGTCTTTTTCGTCAAAGCGTAAGGCCAAAACAACTCCATTTTGTCTTTAAATGACCTGGCCACCTACTCACTCTCCACCCACCCCACCCCACCCCCAACTCCATTAATATTCTGTGCTCCCAGAAATGGTGACTATGTACCTTTTCTCTGAGCACAGCTGGTTTCTAAGAAAAGGACAAAGGACTTTGCATTCAGCAAGCCCCCTCTAACTTACTCAGCAACGCACACACACCCCATCCCCTTGTGTCACTCAAGTTACCAAGATAGATTGAAAACCTTCGAAGCAGGGATAAAAGAGGCAACCCTCCTTTGTCCCATGTACCTGCCCCTTTTTGCCCTTTTGCAGAAGTAAAATAAAATGTCTCATCAAAATTTCTTGATGTCTAAGTGATTTATAATCTACACCCACAGGTTGAGTTTGGGGACTTATTCCAAACATATGGACTGAATGTGTGCCCCCAATACATACATGACACTGCCCCATGTGATGGTGAGGAGGCAGAGCTTCTGAGAGATGATTAGGACATGAAAATGAATAAGATCGGTGCCCTTACAAAAAAAAAAAAAAAAATGGAAGCGAGCTCAGTTGTATCTGCTCCTTGCTATGTGAGCATATAAGGAAGAGCCAGGAAAAGGCTTTAATGAAGAGCCTGACAGTGGTGGCACCCTGATTTTGGACTTCCCCCAGAATTGTGAGAAATACATGTTTCTGTTGAAGCTATCCAGTCTTTGGAATCCTGTCGTAGCCTGAGCTAAGAACAAGGTGAAATTGCTCCAAGAACAGGTGACTCTGGATCTTTTTTCCTGTAGCACCTGTATAGTATCCTTTGGATAGGATGCAGCACAGTTCTTCACTGAAGCAGTCTGTAAGTCCCTCTGCAAAAAGTCCAAAAACCGCTGCTTGTTTTGTTTTCAGCTCTCCCTTGGCCCTGGACAGTCCTAGTTTGTTTGATTGATTGATTGAGGTTTTTTAAGACAGGGCCTCGCTATGTGGTTTGGGCTGGTCCTGAACTCACTATATAGCTCAGGCTGGCCTCAAACTCATGGCAATCCTCCTGCCTCAGCATCCCAGGCTGTGAGATTGATGGAGTGTAGCACCAAGCCTGGTGAGACAGTCCTAGATTTAAAATTCCAAGTTCCCTTTCTAAAGAACCCCTTCAATCCCCAACTAACAAGCAGAAACAAAGGGAATTTTCTCCAGCCCCCTCAAACCAATGGGAGTAAAGGAAGACAATGTTCAGAGTAAAGTGTTCAGGATAAGCAAAGAGGTGTGAGGAAGGAGGAGGCAGAAGTAGCTTCTGTTTGGCTTTGTAATTCTTGCATGAGGAATGCTGATAGTGCTCAGCTGTAGTCATTCTTTCCATTTGGATCTATTAGTAGAGGATTTACTATTTGTAAAATAATATGGAACTTGTTCTAGTTTGAATCTATCTCTGATGAGTAGAAACAAAACCCTTCAACTGATGAATATTCAACAAGCTGGTTACTGAATATACCTCTCCTTTTTCTCCCTCCCCTCTTCCTCCCTGTCTCTATTTTGTTCCAAATGCTATGGTGAGTAATAGGGGCCAAGCACAATTCTGCACAGCTTTAGTCTGATAAAAGTAAGTCCAAAACATTGCCTATTACACTCGAGGCCAGGCTTTGAAAAAAATTCAAAATATAAAACATCCATGTTCTCTTACTCAACATAAATATATCTTTATCCAAGTTCTAAGGGAAGGCATTGTTTTCCTACCCATTTGGGTGGCCTACTTTGTGAAATAAAAGTTGCCAGTGAGAGAGCTGGCATTACATTTGAGCCACAATCTTTTCATACCGTATCTCTAACAAATGATAATAGCTACATTCTTGTAGTGCTAGCTGTGTGCCAACCATACTTCTTAAGCCATTACAAATCACATTAATCCCTCAAATCACCACAAAAATGTCATTTTGTACATGTAGAAACCAAAGCACAGAGAAGTTAAGGGTCATACTCAAGGCTGCCACATTGCATGAATCAATCCATGCGCCTGCATATACATATGCAGATACTCCTCATGAATATACAGCCTGATAAATCCAACATAAGTTGAAAATGTCCTCCGTTGAAGATGCACATAGTACAAACCTACAGAACATCATATCTTTCCAATGCAACACACAGGATAGTGTTGGTTGTTCAGCCTGTGATGGTGTTGCTAGCTGGGGGCTGCTGAGCATGGCATCAAGGGTATAAAATCTCATAGTGGTATCCTAGGAAAAGAATCAAATTTAAAATTTGGAAGGATTTTTCTACTGGATGTGTATTGCTTTCACACCACTGTAAAGTTGAAAAATCATAAGTTGAACCATCCTAAGTCAGGACTATCTGTATGCATGTATGATAGATAGATATAGATGATATAGATATAGATGTAGAGAGATAGAGCTATAGATAGATATACATATAGATATAGATATCACATCTGATTCAAACCCAAGTGTTGGGCAGCAGAGTCTTTTCTGAGCCTCTGCACTGTATTTCTGTTCACTGATACAGCTTTTTACTTTTGTCCTGAAAATAGATCACAGGCAATATCACAAAACAAGAAAGCTTGCATGAGGACTGCAGACATGGCCATTGGTTGCCTTTTCTTCTGAGAAAGACAGAATCATATCACCACAGGATAGGACATCTGAAATAAACCTGATAAAAGCTTCATAGCTTTAACAGTATGGAAGCACTCTCTCTGCCTGATTTTAATCTCATTCTTCTCCCCAGGGCTTTCCAGGACCATAATTACTGTCATGTAGGTTCTCATGGAAAATCTAACTTGGAGACTCCTGGGTCTGTTAGGAATCAAGTGAGCCAGGCAGGTGCACTGTTTCACCTCCAGGTCACTCTGAGCATGAGGGTGCAGGTGAACTGTTCCACTCCCCTGGTGCTGAAGCTGGCCTCTTTCAGTTAGCACTGTGAGGTAAGGAAGTGTCTGTCTCACAAAGGTGAAATCAGTGATGTTTATTCTAGGTTCATTGTCTTTCCCCATAAATCATCTTTGGCAGAAATGTGCTGCTTATTAATGTGGTCCAGCTGCACTATCCCCAGAATTGTCTGCACAGTGTAGCTTGGGCAAAGAGGGCTGGGTTCAGTAAGCTGAGTGCCGCACACAGGAGGACCACACCTTCATTGTCTTTCTGCCCTCCTGCAAACAGATGGTTTCACTGAATCT